AAGGCCGTACGGTGACCTATAGTTGTTAATTTCTGTGTCATTTGGTCTCTTGTGGAGAGTTGTCTCATTGGCAATCATACCACATCTTCTTTTTTTATATTTATAATTAGATCAAGTAAGTATCTCTCGCGGGAGAGTTACACTTATTCATGATTAGTCGGTAACGAACATTAATGTGTCCTGCTAGCTGACCAGTTCGCAATGCCTCATTACTTATTTCTAGATTAATTTCATGAATTTTTTGAAAGAAGGTACATGTGTCCTCCATGTTTTGAATTATTATTATTCTTAAAGAAATTATATGTCTGGGAATCTTTTTTTTTTCTCTCCTTGCTGTATATTTGACACTTCTCTCAACATGCCAAAATTGTAATGATTTACAATAAAAAGAAAATATTATCCTCCACACACATGGCCAAGATAACACTGATATATAATTTTTATTCAGTTGAATTAATAATTCGAATAAAAAAGTTCTAAGGTTCACGTATTGTCTTTCTTTTTTTTTAAAACATCTTGTTTAAATATCAGGTGTCCATGTCCACACTGTTATGAAATTCATTCTATTTATACCCCAGGCAACAAACTCAAATCATGTATTTAGAGTAGAAACAGTTTGAAACCTTAACTTTATACTTAAATCAGTTTTACTTCCATGGTTCAAACAAATCTCACTTTTTCATTTCATAGCTTGTCCTTTTGTAAATTAGCCAAAATATAATGAAGTTGTTGATTTGTTGTTTTTATACGAGTGTGTGACCGACAGAGTAAAGCAAGAATAACAGTGCCAATTCAGTATAGCTCATGTCCAGTAAGCAATTTAAAAATCATGTTTTTGCAATCGCATATGCGTTGAATACGGATAGTGATTTTAAGAAAAAATAATTTGTTACTAAGTTGTGCTATTTTTTCTTATGAATACAAACGTTTTTGTATCGTCTAAGTTGTTATGATATCGTCCTATTTTGTCGCTAGATACGCTCTAAGCCTTTGTCAACCTAGACCCTCTAAATTCGCTTATGAATACTTATACAGATTGCCTCGACTCCTTGAAAACAGATTGACGGAATTTCCAGAAACTTGCACTGGTTATTCTTTAGGGTGGACATGAAGTTGTGCACCAGCTACTTCAACTTTAAATCTGATTTTTTTAGGGGGGGGGGGGGTCACAATAACAAAAGAATTGACTATGTCATTTATAACTATATTTTTGGAGAGAGTAGTCGACACACGTGCATTGGCAAACTCACACATTTTCCTATAAAAAATTAATATACGCATCTCTAATTTTATAAAATAATCTGGAATAGATAATATTCATTTTCCTGTTATTATAATTCTTTGGACAATTTATTATATATTTTCGCAATCACATACCGTTAGTAACTTAAGTATAATAGTTTTCAATCCAAGCATCGAGAAATAGATCAGGCATCATTGTTTTACTTCATATAAAAATAAGAAGATGTGGTATGATTGCCAATGAGACAAATCTCCACCAGAGACCAAGTGACGTAGAAGTTAACAACTATTGTCAACGTACGGCCTTTAACAATGAACATACCCCATACGCATAGTAAGCTACAAGATGCCCCGAAATGACAAATGCAAAACAATTCATACGAGAAAACTAACTGCCTGATTTCATTGCGTTGTCTTTTTATTCTAATTATTGGATTTTTTCCCTTTCTTATATTTTGATACAAATGTAGAGCCTTAATAATAATAATATTAATAGAAATTCAGTATCTTATCTCTGACTGTATCTATCATCACTCAGTCCCAAAAAAAGACAATCGCTATTTTATCTCTGACCCTGCATTAGTATTTCACTCCTGCTATTGCATAATTTATGCATAATCAACTTTTCTATTATCCGTCATCTCGGACATCAACTCCTAAAATTTAATTACTCTTTCAGAATCATCATCATACCGCTAAAAATATTTGATAAGTTAAATGTTTATCAAAAAATAAAACGTTTCGTTGTCGCATCTCATATCTGTATTTTACACATCTCAACGATTCTTTAAGGTTCAGTTTGTTTTTCTTTTAATTTGTTTTCTTTTTATTTCAATTTGTATTTTGATAACGATAAAAAAATATGTTGTTCCAATATTTTACCAATTAAATAATATGATTATAATAGTTCCATTTTTGCTATTTTAATTCAAATAGGAACAATTTTTAAAAACTCCTTAATTACTGCACAAACGGACTAAGCTCTTTTTACATCGCGATGACCTTGAGGTCATTCCGATGTATTGCTATCGCCTAGATTTCCATTATGTAAATTAGTTTTGGGTTTGTAACCGATCTATAAACATGATAAATATGCGCACATAAACGAGTGCAAAATAACATTCCTTATCGTTTGATATAAAAACATCTCTTCAATGAATACTGATAAAAATATTTTTGTTTACAACATAAATTAATAATATGAAAATTTTTTGTAGTTAGATATATATATATATAAGTAAAAAAATCATTGATAATATCAATGCACACGTACCGAAAAATTGTGTTAAAGCATGCGGAAGAATATCTCAAAGAACGTTTTGCGACAATACCGACAAGGACCGGTAACTCTGTAATTGTTTTTGCGGGAAAATATGAATGCCTACTCGTATCCAATCTTAGGAAAATCGAATTTTTACAGAAAAGTGTCCACCATGCACTTGCATTGCACTATTATTAGAATAGTAGAATAGAATGATATACAAATGGATGCAAATCATATATATATATATGTAAATGTTATTTTAATATAATATATAACAACAAATCAGTGTATACTGATGTGTATCACTACAATATAATAGTTATTACGGTGAAGTTGAATTTCCTGTCATTTATTCATCATCCACGCACGAACTTGTCTCAGAAAAAAAATATATATCGTACATTAACCTCAGTTTCAGGTAAAGAGATATGTTGTTTTTTTCTGAGACAAGTGCATTTGACCATCCTCAAGCACTTGTGGTCATCCGATGGTCAGTACTTCAGTACTTTGATTTAATTTCGCTAAAATGGCTCAGTTTTAAAATCTTAAAAACGCCTAACCATTGACGGTATTTTTTCGCTTAAAATCTAATGTCGAATGTTTACACAGCTTTTATTTCAGAAAAATTAGCATATGCGACTATAATTTAATTAACTACTGATATAAAATATCAATCAGTCTCGACTCTCGATTAACACTTATCTCTATAGCAACCGTAAGACGTTCAACATATTCATTAGGTCAATTAATTACCTATTACGCAGGTGGCCGCAGAAAAGAACAGATGTATTCCGAAAAGACAATAGGCATTTCCGGTATTCCGAAAGACTACAGCATCAATTAATATATATGCGTGAACCCCACAAAAAATTACACAATTAAATAAGCAATCATCAGAACTGTCCCCTCCCCCAAATGCAGTATTGAAAAGTAAATCATTTAAAAGTCCTGAAGAAAAAATATGTTTTTAAATATGCCCTGCATACTAATTTATGCAAAGACATATAGTAATTATTAAAGTGCTTGAAAAAAGATTCTATTTAAGGGATTCGGAGATGAGAACAGTAAAAAAAAATATTGGGGGGGGGGGGGGGGGGGGCTAGCTATGTATTTTTTTTTATTTCAATGTGTAGACTGTTGATGTTTCTTCAGAAAGGGTTTTCATTGGAGGCGTTTGAAAGAAAGGGGAGAAATCCAAACAATTACCGACCAATCACAAACGTTGTTGCAAATTTGACCTTGTGACGTCAAACAATTTCCCATAATGCAATTATTGCATATAAATAAAAAAAACTACTATACCAATTGAATAACAAATATTGCATTTAAATGACAAGTTATACCAATTGAATAAAAAATATTGCACTTGAATGACAAATTATACCATTTGAATAAAAATTATACCATTTAAATAAAAAAATATTGCATTTAAATGAAGAAATATACCCATTAAATAAAAAATATTGCATTTAAATGAAAAATATCAAATTTTTGCATCCAATACCATGCCATAGTTGGATTTACACATGACACAAACTAGGAACTCTCTATAGGAATCCTCTATAGAATTCTGAAATAGGGTATACACATCTTCAATTTATAAAAAGTTTGAATACGGTAATGTTGATGATAAATGTTGGAGACGTATTATGGTATACCGTTGCCCGTTAGTCCGTCCGTCCGTCGTCAACATGTCGTACATTAACTCAAAAACCCTTTAACCAATTTGCATAAAACTTTGGTGAATTGTTTATATCTACTGACGTGAGCTCCCTTTCATTTTTGGTGAATTTTAGATTTTACGTTTCCGAGTTATGGGGTTTTATTCATTAAAAAAGGGGGATTTCCAGTTTTCGGACAATAACTCAAGAATGCTTTCACCAACTTGCAAGAAATTGTGGTGAATTGTTTATATCTATTGACATGAGCTCCCTTTAAATTATTATAAATTTTAGATTTTACGTTTCCGAGTTACAGGGTTTTATTCATAAAAAAGGGTGATTTTCCAGTTTTCGGACAAAAACTCCAAAATGCTTTCAGCAGTTCTTATGAAATTTTGGTGAATTGTTTATATCTATTGATGTAAGCTCCCGTTAGAATTTTATAAATTTTACATTTTAGATTTCTGAGTTATGGGGTTTTATTCATTAAAAAAGGTGGGATTTTCCAGTTTTCGGACAATAACTCAAAAATGCTGTCAGCAATTCTCATGAAACTTTGGTGAATTATTTATATCTATTGATGTAAGCTCCCTTTTGATTTTCATAAATTTCCTATATGACATTGAGAATTAATTGAACTTTATTGATCTTTATTCTTTGAAAACGTGACGGGCGTATCATGCGCTCATGGCGCAACTGTTTATTTGAGTATTTTACACAAATTCCATAAAACAATACAGCCTATTTGGATCAATTATTTTTAAGCACATATGTATTAATCATAAATGTTTTGTTATTTGCTAAATATTTATGTTAAATTATTTCATTTGTAGAGGCCAAAATCATTGGAAGATAACCTAAATGAAACTGCTGAATTACAGCCAAGGCCTAGCATAAGTAGATTTAATTCCGTTAAACGTAAACAGCTTGAACGTTTAAGACACAGGTCTGACTGGTTTTTAGGACCAAACTCATCTAGAACTTTAGAACAATCACATCCACAACAACATACTTCAGTGGGAAATGAACATAAAGTGCTACAACCAAAATCATCAGGGAATAGTATAACTAAGGCATCTTCTGAAGGGGCTGGACTAGATATACATTCGGATAATGACAGTGTATTTTCTGAATCAAGTCGTAGTGAATCACCAGCATCCGAACCAGTTAGATCACAAGCAGTTAGAATTATTCGTGATATAATTCATAGTGATACTATAGAAGATGTACAAATGTCAGAGACAAGGGAAATTATCAATGAAGATATGGCAGTAGGAGACTCAGAAATTTGCTATTTTGTGGTTGAACATAAGTATGGTGATACAACATAGTCCTAGCAATGGTTTTTTTCTCAGGACTACAGCTGTCATTATTGATCATTTGAATTTTATATTTGTAGTATTTAGTACCTCCCTTTTCAGCTTACATGGCCAAAGTGAGCTGTTGTAATATCTTGGCATTTGTCATCCAACATGTGTTTTCTAAATCGTCTCCTCAGAAGCTATTTGGTTTATTTTAATCAAACTTGGTCAGAATTTTCTTGTGGTTTGTAGTTTATTATGAATTTTATAATATCCAAGGTCCTTGCTAACCAACTAATATGGTCTCCAGCGTTTAAAATAAAACATAAGGGTAAATCGCAAGTAATGTCTTTAATCTAGATAGATAAAATATTAAAATATGTCAATTAGATAAACATAAGTAATCAAATGTCTCCTATAGGATTTTTCTACCTTAATTGATGATTTTGACCGATTATAGCCAAATAGAGGAAAGGACAGAAGATATACAAAATTGTCAATATGATTGAAACCACCAATGGACTCGTTATAAAAGTTTCTTCTAATTAAAAAACAATTTGACAAATTTAAGTAGTTATGCTTATTATCTTGGAAGCTATAATAAATATAGACATAAACTGTAAACAGAAAAATGATTAACAATATAAGAGCGCAAAAAAAGCTGATATTACTGAAACCATCAATTAAAGGAATTATTGCAGTACATGATTTTTTTTTCATCAATTTTATTATATTTACGAATTATCTTGAAAACAGTTAATAAATTGTAGAAAGAATGTCCTGCCTTAGTAGAGACATGGTACCCCTTTTGTTGTTTGTACAGAGGTTTTTTGTACAGAGGTTTGTGGGTTTGATTCCCAGCATGGTCAAACCAAAGTCTTCTATAGGCATTTGCTGCTTTTCCACTAAACACTCTGCATTTTGGAGTAGGAGCGAAAAGTGGTGGGCTTGGAGTCAAAGCAGTGATCCTGCAGACTGTAACCTTGTGAACTAGCATGTTAAATCCAGCTTAGTTGGTAAGTCATGTCCAAAACAGGGTTCATACTCATATCACATTAACATGTTCTTGTCTTGATATGCATGTTATCAAGGATTTGTATTTATAAAATATACTTGCTTTTTTCCTGAAAGTCAAAATCTCTTCTCAGTCATTTTGATCATTTGGAATGCAAGACTTGTCAATTATGCACAATGATTAGAGGTCCCTGTAGAGTCTATTATATCACTTTTTCATTGTTTCAACTGCACTGACATACTTCACACATTTAAGCAGGCACAATGTGTTATGCAATGTACATTATCGAAATTCATCTTTTCATTGTGCCCATACCACTATACCATCATTTTCCAGTGGCAGCCTAGCCCGCTTAATCTAGTCGTTATATTGTGCTAGCCGTTACTACGATTGCTACATTAACGCGGAGAGAATTGTAGACGGTAACGGCTTGAATTATTTGAGTTAGTTGCAGTCCAAATTTCATAACTTTCATCCCGACGGCCTCTATTACAAGACTTACCTATTGTATTTATAATATTGTTATTTTTTCTCGTCCTGAACATGCATGAAATATTTGCCACTTAAGCAAACATCATCAATCAATCAATCTTGTCATTGTGAATGCCAACCAGGAGAAATTTAGTCTGATTGATTTTGATACGCCCGTTAACGGGACGTATTATGGTATACCGTTGTCCGTCTGTCCGTCCGTCGTCAATATGTCGGACATTAACTCATAAACGCTTCAACCAATTTGCATAAAACTTTGGTGAATTGTTCATATCTATTGATGTGAGATTGTGAGCTCCCTTTCGTTTTTTATCAAATTTAGATTTTACGTTTCTGAGTTGTGGGGTTTTATTCATTAAAAAAGGGGGGATTTTCCAGTTTTCGCACAATAACTCAAAAATGCTTTCAGCAGTTCTCATGAAACTTTGGAGAATTGTTTATATCTATTGATATAAGCTCCCTTTTAATGTTTATAAATTTTAGATTTTACGCTTCCGAGTTATGGGATTTTATTCATAAAAAAGTGGTGATTTTCTAGTTTTCGGACAATACCTTTAATGTGCTTTGAGCAGTTTTCATTAAACTTCGATGACTGGTTTATATCAATTAAGATAACCTCCATCTAGTTTTTCACAAATTTCTGATATGACATTGAGAAGTTATTGAACTTTATTCGTAAAAAATGCGACGGGCGTATCATGCGCTCATGGCGCAGCTGTTTATTTCTTTGTTTCGAAACTATATTGCAATTTCTCATGAAAATTTGTACCAATAATTATTATTTTGAAATCTCCCATGTAAAAGCTTTTATTTAGGGAGAGTGGAGGCTGTGACCCTCTGTCCCAACTCTTCAAAAACAGTGTGTTCTTGTCCACTTTCATGATTGACCCTTTGAAATCAAATTAATCATTTTATTTATTTTATGCTAAATAGGTTTGATTGCATGTAATTAAGTGTTAATATTTTGATGTAGTTAAATGTAGAAATGATTGAATAACAGAATTTACAAGTTTCCTTGCTTGTTCCTTGATCTTATTGAGTCAAACTTTTGCGCTAATAACAGTTTTTTTTTAAATATATCTATTGGGAGAGGATATTGGGGATATCGAAAGACGAATGTAGGACAGAAAGTCACAGGACAAAAAGTCACTGGACAAAAAGTCACAATTCAGTTTTGAGATTATTTTTCTTTGAATAAGTAAACACTTATTTTTAAAAAAACATAAATTGTATTTTTATTGAATTATTATATATAAAGCAACTTTGTAAACAAAATTTATTCTGAAAAAAACAATGATCATATAATTGTTTAGAAAACAATTTGTCGCAGTGGCTTGGTACTTAAATGGCTTCGTGGTGTCAAGAAATATATCCTTTGAATGTTGTAAATTTCATAAATCTTCATTTATCAAGGCTTATGAACAATTTCCTTAACTGTAATAACTGAATATATGTAATAAAAAGAAACTATTTCAAGAACTTTCTCTTATATATTCAAACAATTTCAAACAAATTATTTGTGACTGTTTGTCCTGTGACTTTTCGTCCTGTGACTTTTTGTCCTGTGAAATTCTGCCCGTTTACCTCGAAAGACATCCTTGGAAAAAATCTTGCTGCCGAGAAATATTAATTTATCATATCTACTTAACAAACTGTCTACGAACTGAAATTACCATACCAAAAGATTGTTATAATTATCTCAGCCTAGAAGCACCTTTCTGGAACGGAAAAGGGGGGAGGGGTAAAGATAACAGAATAAATAAGATCTAACAGCGATAAATTACATACCCACATTCAAGTTAACCCGAATAATTCAGTCGTTATATTCCGCTGCTCTACGATGGCTACATTAACGAGTGGGAGAGTCGATCACGGGGAGGGACTGAATTATTCGGGTTACAAGTTACAAGTATACAAAAACAAAAAACATGGCGGGTCTCACTAATTAGCGACAAGAAGAGACAAGAAGAATAATTTAGCGACAAAAAGACTATTTAGCGACAAGAAAACTTTAAAATACTTATTCCAAATAAACATATTAAAAAAATACGCATTGAAATGTTTTTTTTTGTAATATACGGGCAGTAATAAAGTGATTTTCATTTTTTTTATTATATTGATAGATGAAGAAATTAAACATTTGTAAAGAAGAACAGAGATTGTCTAGTTTTTGTCTCGCCATGACGGAGTCAAAAAGCGAGACATAGGTATGCTGTTTCCGGCGTCGGCGTCAACAGTGTATTAGTTTGTGATTAGGTCTAGTTTATGGTGAACCACTAATGGTAGGTCAATGATATTTGGTATGCAGTTGTATTAGCATTGGCACATCTCATTACCATGGATATTATTTGTCCCCGCCCCCTCAGTCATGGTCTATTGACTTTGAAACTTTGCTTAGTTTACATGTATTAGTTTGTGATTAGGTCAGTTTATGGGGAACTACTAGTGGTAGGTCAATGATATTTGGTTTGCAGTTGTATAAGCATTGGCATATCTCATTTCCATGGAGATTATTTGGCCCTGCCCCCTCAGTCGTGGTCTGTTGACTTTGAAACTTTTTCTTAGTTTACATGTATTAGTTTGTGATTAGGTCAGTTGAAGATGAACCACTAATGTTAAGTCAATGATATTTGGTATGCAAATGTATTGGCATTTGCAAGTTTCATTTCCATGGAGATAATATAACCCCACACCCTCATCATGGTTCATTGACTTTGAAACTTTTACATAGTTTACAAGTTAATGTCTGTGTTTATGTTTGTTTAAAGGGAACGACTTATGAGATTTCAGTGGTATTTGGTATGCAGTTGTATTAGCATTGGCACAATTCATTACCATGGAGATTGTTTAGCCCTGTACCTTCAGTCATGGTTCATTGACTTTGAATATTTGCATAACTTACATATTAAAGTATTGCTATTTTAATTTCAACATTTGCATTATCAAAATAACAAATAGGCGAGACATATCTCTGTGTTAACAGTATATTATTAAATATAAAGAATATGTTTAAGATAATGTATTTACTGTTTTCAGCAAAGTCAGAGTATGAATAAATGAATCAAGATAAATATAGAGTCGGCATAATATAATATTATCTCTTAATTCATTTGATCGTATTAATGATATGCTCTACACTGTACTCTTATTATATCAATGCAATGCTTCATTTGTAGAACGCTCAGATACGCTTTGTTATATTATTAGCGTGTTTCTAGACAAAACGACAAGGAGGTGGTTCTACCTTGCGGTCCATATTTTGTTTTATTTTATTATATCATAGTTTTATTCATTATAGTAATATTTACGTTCATATCTAGCATAATCTTTATACATTATGTACATGGTGATCTGCCAATCTGATAAACCGTAGACATTTTTACCACTAAGGCTCACTGTATTTTAGCCCTTTTTGAAGATATAGTTTTAGCACTTTAGTACGTTTCCACGTGCACATGCACTTGTTTTGGGGATTGTCACCCCACCATCTGTTGAAGTGGTGGACTCAGGATTTTTGTTTACCTTTCTCTCATAAGTCAAGAATTTTTGCAATGCAAATGCCTTTCCATTGTCCGATTTAATCTGCCAGAGAGATTTTGTGCATTGTAAATGGCTAACTGAGGAGCTTAGCTCAAAGTCTCCATGTCCATAAAGACTTTCTTGCAACTTTATTTCTTTGTGAATTTTATTAATCAACTCTAGCAGTGTTTCCGGCTTCCAATCTTGATTTAGTTTCAAGATATGGTTTATTGACTCACAATTGTTGATTTTCCATTGCAATGAAATTCTTGACTCTGTTTTTCGTGCATTGTACACGTATTCCCTAATAGTAGGGATAACTTTTGTGTTAGGTATGGACCAACAAGATCTTCATATTTCCTTTCTATTTCCGTTACCTTAGTGGTAAAATCTACTATAGTATCAGATTCTATCAGACCCCTTTCCCCAAACAATTCTGATAAAATTTGTTTTGCGTTATTATCATTTACGCCAAGAGACAGATCATAGTCAAATTTATGATCTTTTGTCTGATAACATTGTGCATATATGTAATCACAGCTTTTAGTCTGACTTAAGATCAGGAACTGATCTTTTGTAAATTTCTGACATTTTTGGTGAAACCATGTTTCACATTTTTCACAAAACACACATTCGTGTGCAGTTTTTATACGACCGCCAAAAATTTTTGTGGTCGTATCACGTCGTCGTCGTCTTGGTTTCCGGACAATAACTTTAGTATTAGTGAATAGAAATCTATGAAATTTAAACACAAGGTTTATAACCACAAAATGAAGGTTATGGTCCTAACAGTTTTGGAATTAGGGGCCAAAAAAGGGGCCCAAATAAGCATTTTTCTAGTTTTCAGACAATTACTTCTGGAACGGTGTATGGATCTCTCTGAAATTGTACAACAAGTTTCCATACCACAAAGGGATGGTTAGGATTGGCTTTGGAGGGTAATGGCTCAAACCGTTTAGGAATTAGGGGCATAAAAAGGGGAAAACAAGGGTTTCCTTGTTAATGGACAATCACTTTTAAGTGCAATGTTAAATTTGGATTACCTCCCTTATACTGCTTTAAAATTATGTATAAAGACATTTTGTATTGTCTTGAGGTGATTAGCTGTCAATTTATTTTTAGAAGTTGCTAATAAAAATGCTGATTAAGGAGGCTCGAGGGTATAAAATTTAAATTACAGTTTTTCCTTATAATTTGTTGATTGAAACCTCTTAACATATGGATTAAAAAAATGCAAAAAAATAGGGGGTCACCGACCATCTAAGCAAGTTACAGACTTCTAAAAAATAGGTTTTCCCCTCATGAATCGTACAATTTTTACAAAGACTAATAGGGAAAATTGCACCTGCGTTGCCTTCATCTTAAACTACTGAGAGAACAAAATTACAGATTTCTATTATACTTTCCATTCTAAGAGAGTTGGTAGTGAAGTTCAGAAAAAGCCAAAAAGAAAGTGGGGGTCACCGACCTTTTAAGAGAGGCCTAAACTATATGAAAGAAAATCTGTTTATGGTTAACAGTACCCCTAAGTGATATGCAGGCCAACATTGAATTTTAGGTCATTTGGGTAAATTCGTAAGGTCATAGTTTGACATGGGAAACCTCGAACATCATTATAGTTCCATCAAAAAATAAAATAGGTGCATAATGTATTTTGAATTATGTTTCCTTGAAGACTTCCGGACTAATATATATTGTCACATTTGGTTGTTTTCTATTAAAGAGTTAATGGTTTAGATTAAGATGTAGTCTGTGTCTGTCCCAAGTCAGGAGTCTGTAGTTCAGTGTTTGTGGTTTGTTGCTGTATATTATATCTTTCATTTTCATTTATTGTTCTGTACATAAACCAGGCCTCTGATGATATAAGAATGGGTGGTCAAGGGTTAATCTATTTCATATCCCATCCACATTTGTGGTGGGGCATAAAAAAATATAATCTTTGTTTCTACATAAAATACAAATAACAACTTGCAGTATAGGTGATATAAGTATTTATTTATGAACATATTTATAGTCCCATATATTAACTGATCCATATAACATTAAATTCAAAATCAATTAACCAAAGAAATTGTTTTGTGGCACTTATTTCATTCATATAACAAGACATTTCACAGTGCAATAGGGAGTGTAATTATCCTGTTCTGCCAGGCATTTTATGCAAATACCACCTTTTTTTTACATTTCCTTAAGAATACTAATTCTTATCTTGAAAGATAAATTAAAGACAATAATTTATTCCTTAAAATACAACTAGGCAAAAGGTAAGATACTTCATTTGCCAAAGAAACATAATTGGATACAATTAGACTGTACCAGAAATGAGTGATATCATTTTGCAATGCATCTGGTAAAGATTAATTTTCTCATTGACAAAAATACTACCAGAAATACAACTTTAAATATTTCCCATTGAGTTTCTATCAATAAGCTTTTAACTTCACTGATGGCCATTTTGAATTTCTACCACAGTCAAAACACTTGTTTAGGACCTTGAAATAAATATATATCTACTTTTTTTTAATTCTATCTATAATGCTGTTATCAAATAAATAAACATTGAAATGTGTACTGAACTGACCCTTTAAGCTCCTTCCTAGAACCAAAGCTAGTAGCTCGAACTGATCATCTTACAAAGTTTGTCACTTAATATCATTTGTAGTTAAAATATAAAGCAAAATGTAAATTGACATTTAGTTTTTATGTAAACTAGTGACCTTTGCTGGCTCTTATTTTGATTGGCAATAAGATAACACCACTTATTCAACACCTTGATCGGAAAATAAATAAATGTACTATGTTTTGTTTCAATCCCTACAGGATTTCTTGAGAAGAAGGTTTCAATCAAGATTAACCAATGACAATTTACATTCAGACAGGATGGCTATCTATCTTTTCCAATTGTCACATAATCTTCAACAATTAAAAAGGACATTAATTGATAGAAATAATTTATCTGCAAAGTTTGATAAAATTCTGTTCACTATTCCTCAAGCAGGAGATAAAAAATAATGTTTACAGACAATTGATGACTAGTGATGGCAATTGCCCACAAGGTTAGCTGAAAAGATATAATATATAATTCAGTATAAAAACAAAGAATTATCAACTAGCTTTCAGGAGTAAGGAAGTCAAATATTTTTCGAATGACCTTCATGCAATTCTTGACTCGAACATTTCCTCTGTCAGTTTTTTCAGAATATAAAGCTTTTAATCCTTCTAGTCCCATTCTCTCAACAGAAAGTTTAAGATGAGAGAGCTTTAAGTTTGATTTAGAAGCCTTCAAAGCAGTCGCTCGTGTAATTGCTTTACAAGCAATGGCTTCATTATAAGACTTAAGATTGTCTTTCTGGACTATACAATCATAAGGATGACTTACAGGAAATACAAATGAATCCAGATTGTTTAAGGCTTTTGAGGTTAATAATTTAAACAATGCTCTAGTGTCATCAACTGCATTGTGTGCACAATTGTTTTCACCAAGAAGTTGTGACACCAATGAAGTTTGAGAATATGATGGTAATTCTGGCATTATTTTCTTGAATAACTCCATGGTGTCTATGAATCCACATATGTGAGATGAAAACTCGTTCCACATCTGATTTGCTTTTAAAAATGGTAAAAAACATGGCAATCAAAGCGTTTGATGTTGTGTCCTACAAGAACTGGCTTGGATGGATATTTGGAAAGAAATGTTATAAAATCAGTGAGAGCTTCATGTGGTAATTTGTACGAAACAGGTTGTAAATTATAAAACATCTGATTTGCAGAAACAGTAATTTTTGTAATTTCGGAGGCCTGTATTGAGATAGGTTGGTTTGGAAAGATGTTACTGCTAAATTCATTATTGTTTGAAGTTGCAGCAATCTGTATTACATCTGAGGTTCTATCTGGAAAAAAAAATTAGTTTAGTTTTTCTTATTTCAATATTTCTCAATAAATACAAAATATGTTACCTGCTAATTCAATAGTTTTAGCAATGTATGGATTAATCTTATTACCAAAATGAACCGAAAAGGAAAAGAAAAAAACTAATTATTTTTTTCATGATTTATTATTCTAATATTGTGTTTACAATATCTAATGTTCACTTTTCTTTTTTAGTTTTTCATGTGAGGGTCTGTTAAAGCCTCCTGTGTGATATAGGTTATTTTCATTGTTGAAGTCTGTATGATTGCCTATAACTGCCTACTTTCACTTCATTTGAACTTTGGGGGGATACAGTCTCATTGGTAATCATACCACATCTCCATTTTTTATGTAGACAGTTTAAGAAATTTGTATGGGCAATTTTCCTGCTGTGATATACATTTATCTCTAACTTTAATATTTGAGTGATATATATATTATAGTATTACTTCAAAAAGAAGAATGAAAAGCTGGTTCCATGTGCAATAACCAATATACAATGTATATAAGCATATAAAGTTTTCATATAATTTATTTTATCATATACTTAGCATTAATATGATAGCTTTAATTTGCATATGTGTAATGAACGGAAGCCATAAAGTACACAAGCCATAATTTCCCACCCGGTCTGTTAACCCATATCAGGGGCCTCTCGTGCAAGTTACTTCCGGTATTTCCGGTATCGTCTGTTTAATTTTCCATTGTGGCGTCAGATATTTTTAGCTCACCTGGCCCGAAGGGCCAAGTGAGCTTTTCTCATCACTTGGCGTCCGTCGTCCGTCGTCGTCGTTAACTTTTTACATTTTTAACTTCTTCTAGAGAACCACTGAATGGAATGAAACCAAACATGGCATGCATGTTCCTTATCAGGTGCTGACCAAGTGTTGTTACTTTGTAGCGGATCCCTCATCCAAGATGGCCGCCAGCGGGGGACTTAGTTTAACATAGGACCATATGGGAAATACATACAAATGTCTTCTTTTAGAGAACCATTGAATGGAATGAAACCAAACATGGCATGAATGTTCCTTATGAGGTGCTTACCAAGTGTTGTTACTTTGAAGCTGATCCATTATCCAAGATAGCCGCCAGCGGGGGACTTAGTTTAACATAGGACCCTATGGGAAATACATACAAATGTCTTCTTTTAGAGAACCACTGAATGGAATGAAACCAAACATGGTATGAATGTTCCTTATGAGGTGCTTACCGAGTGTTGTTACTTTGAAGCCGATCCATAATCCAAGATGGCCGCCAGCGGGGGACTTAGTTTAACATGGGACTATATGGGAATTACATACAAATGTCTTCTTTTAGATAACCACTGAATGGAATGAAACCAAACATGGCATGAATGTTCCTTATGATGTGCTGACCAAGTGTTGTTACTATGAAGCCGATCCATAATCCAAGATGGCCGCCAGCAGGGGACTTAGTTTAACATTGGACCCTATAGGAAATACTGTCATACAAATGTCTTCTTTTAGAGAACCACTGAATGGAATGAAACCAAACATGGCATGAATGTTTCTAATGAGGTGCTGACCGAGTGTTGTTACTTTGAAGCCGATCCATAATCCAAGATGGCTGCCAGCAGGGGACTTAGTTTAGCATGGGACCCTATGAGAAATACATACAAATGTCTTCTTTTAGAGAACCACTGAATGGAATGAAACCAAACATTGCATGAATGTTCCTTATGAGGTGCTGACCGAGTGTTGTTACTTTGAAGCCGATCCATAATCCAAGATGGCCGCCAGTGGGGGACTTAGTTTAACATTGGACCCTATGGGAAATACATACAAACGTCTTTTTTTAGAGAACCACTGAATGGAATGAAACCAAACATGGCATGAATGTTCCTTATGAGGTGCTTACCAAGTGTTGTTACTATGAAGCCGATCCATAATCCAAGATGGCTGCCAGCGGGGGACTTAGTTTAACATAGGACCCTATGGGAAATACATACAAATGTCTTCTTTTAGAGAACCACTGAATGGAATGAAACCAAACATGACATGAATGTTCCTTATGAGGTACTGACCAAGTGTTGTTACTATGAAGCCGATCCATAATCCAAGATGGCCGCCAGCGGGGGACTTAGTTTAACATTGGACCCTATAGGAAATACTGTCATACAAATGTCTTCTTTTAGAGAACCACTGAATGGAATGAAACCAAACATGGCATGAATGTTTCTAATGAGGTGCTGACCGAGTGTTGTTACTTTGAAGCCGATCCATAATCCAAGATGGCCGCCAGCAGGGGACTTAGTTTAACATGGGACCCTATGAGAAATACATACAAATGTCTTCTTTTAGAGAACCACTGAATGGAATGAAACCAAACATTGCATGAATGTTCCTTATGAGGTGCTGACCGAGTGTTGTTACTTTGAAGCCGATCCATAATCCAAGATGGCTGCCAGCGGGGGACTTAGTTTAACATTGGACCCTATGGGAAACAATACAAACGTCTTCTTTTAGAACCACTGAATGGAATGAAACCAAACATGGCATGAATGTTCCTTATGAGGTGCTTACCAAGTGTTGTTACTATGAAGCCGATCCATAATACAAGATGGCCGCCAGCGGGGGACTTAGTTTAACATAGGACCCTATGGGAAATACATACAAATGTCTTCTTTTAGAGAACCACTGAATGGAATGAAACCAAACATGGTATGAATGTTCCTTATGAGGTGCTGACCGAGTGTTGTTACTTTGAAGCCGATCCATAATCCAAGATGGCCGCCAGCGGGGGACTTAGTTTAACATGGGACCCTATGGGAATTGCATACAAATGTCTTCTTTTAGAGAACCACTGAATGGAATGAAACCAAACATGGCATGAATGTTCCTTATGAGGTGCTGACCAAGTGTTGTTCCTATAAAGCTGATCCATAATCCAAGATGGCCGCTAGCAGGGGACTTAGTTTAGCATGGGACCCTATGAGAAATACATACAAATGTCTTCTTTTAGAGAACCACTGAATGGAATGAAACCAAACATGGCATGAATGTTCCTTATGAGGTGCTGACCGAGTGTTGTTACTTTGAAGCCGATCAATAATCCAAGATGGCCGCCAGCGGGGGACTTCGTTTAACATTGGACCCTATGGGAAATACATACAAACGTCTTTTTTTAGAGAACCACTGAATGGAATGAAACCAAACATGGCATGAATGTTCCTTATGAGGTGCTTACCAAGTGTTGTTACTATGAAGCCGATCCATAATCCAAGATGGCTGCCAGCGGGGGACTTAGTTTAACATAGGACCCTATGGGAAATACATACAAATGTCTTCTTTTAGAGAACCACTGAATGGAATGAAACCAAACATGACATGAATGTTTCTTATGAGGTACTGACCAAGTGTTGTTACTATGAAGCCGATCCATAATCCAAGATGGCCGCCAGCAGGGGACTTAGTTTAACATTGGACCCTATAGGAAATACTGTCATACAAATGTCTTTTTTTAGAGAACCACTGAATGGAATGAAACCAAACATGGCATGAATGTTTCTAATGAGGTGCTGACCGAGTGTTGTTACTTTGAAGCCGATCCATAATCCAAGATGGCTGCCAGCGGGGGACTTAGTTTAACATTGGACCCTATGAGAAATACATACAAATGTCTTCTTTAGAGAACCACTGAATGGAATGAAACCAAACATTGCATGAATGTTCCTTATGAGGTGCTGACCGAGTGTTGTTACTTTGAAGCCGATCCATAATCCAAGATGGCTGCCAGCGGGGGACTTAGTTTAACATTGGACCCTATGGGAAACACTACAAACGTCTTCTTTTAGAACCACTGAATGGAATGAAACCAAACATGGCATGAATGTTCCTTATGAGGTGCTTACCAAGTGTTGTTACTATGAAGCCGATCCATAATCCAAGATGGCTGCCAGCGGGGGACTTAGTTTAACATAGGACCCATGGGAAATACATACAAATGTCTTCTTTTAGAGAACCACTGAATGGAATGAAATCAAACATGAGATGAATGTTCCTTATGAGGTACTGACCAAGTGTTGTTACTTTGAAGCTGATCCATCATCCAAGATGGCCGCCAGCGGGGGGCTTAGTTTAACATAGGACCCTATGGGAAAAACATACAAATGTCTTCTTTTAGAGAACCACTGAATGCAATGAAACCAAACATGACATGAATGTTCCTTATGAGGTACTGACCAAGTGTTGTTACTTTGAAGCTGATCCATCATTTAAGATGGCCGCCAGCGGGGGACTTAGTTTAACATAGGACCCTACGGGAAATACATACAAATGTCTTCTTTTAGAGAACCACTGAATGCAATGAAACCAAACATGGTATGAATGTTCCTTATGAGGTGCTGACCAAGTGTTGTTACTATGAAGCCGATCCATAATCTAAGATGGCCGCCAGCGGAGGACTTAGTTTAACATAGGACCCTACGAGAAATACATACAAATGATTTCTTTTAGAGAACCATTGAATGGAATGAAACCAAACATGGCATGCAGGACCAATATTAAACCAAATTTGGCCTCACTCATTATTAGGGTATCTGTTATGATTTTAATCTATTTTTACATGATTTCCAAAGCCAAAGTAGAATCAGGTGAGCGACACAGGCTCTTGAGAGCCTTTAGTTTATTATGACGTCAAAATTTTGCGGGAACTTTTGTGATGTCCAGTAATGGCGGACAAATAGCGATAAGGTGTATTGGATCCAGTGGTAAATTCGTTTGTACAGAACCAGCTGTTATTGAAAAGCAGATGTTAACATGGCTAAATCCAATGATATAGATTCTCAAAATGATGATAGTTAAGTACTTGCTAACAAATGCCATTGACAATTATGAATCATCTCATAGTACAACAGGTAGTAATAATGATCATTATATTTTTAAAAACTGTAATACTTCTTTGCTTCCAAATTTTCAATGTTTCAAAATGCCTCTATAGGAAATGGTATCATAAATATATATGGAGGTAGTGATGCTATTGTTGGACAATGATAGTGTATTTGTTGGATTCATAATTTAACTTCTTTATAAAGTTTTTGACTGTTTTAGTTATTTCATTTGTTTATTTGCCTTACAGATTAATACATGGCCTTTTCCATATCGGCCCGGGTATCATCCCTCGACCCATATCAGCACCTCGACTACGTCTCGGGCTGATATGGGGGTCTCGGGATGATACCCGGGCCGATATGAGAACAATTTTTCAATATATTTATATATATATTAACGACTTACATAGGCTTGTAGTTTCTAAATCAAAGACTACCAGTGGAGCTGTAGAAATATCTATCGGTATACATAAAGATGCATTCATTGGAGCAGGGATTTCTTCATCTAACTTCTCATTATTCATTCCTATAACACATCAAGTTTTGTAAAAACAAAATTGCAGATTTTAATTGTTATATACGGTGTAAAATGTGTTTGTACAAAAGTAAATGAAACATCAAATGTTTAAAGTATGTTCTATTTTATAACTTTGATAATCCTTATTGCATGTCATGCATCAATCTTACAGACCATAAAAGGGGCCCTCCGCTAATCAATTATAAGTACAAAAGACAGAGAATAAAAGTTTAAAAATCATACTTTGGTTAAAGGAGTAGGTCCGGTAAGACCCCTTTTTGGCCCCAAAATATAGCATTTTTACAAATTTGTTGAAATGTAAACTTTTAGCTATTCATTTGGAAGAAGAATACTTCTGTTGCATGAGTATGGGCTGTTTTTGACAATACATAATGCACATGCATCAGGTATAGCATCATAAATTCATGCAATATTACTGAAATCTTTACAATTTTAGCACTTTGTGCAAATTATAAGACGGTTTTTGTCAAAAATGGAATTGGCCGCATTTGTGTTCAGTCATAATATTCAAATATATGTTGTATTTGACGATAAAACATAACATATAAAAAGGTTGAGACTGAACACGAATGCGGCCACTTCCATTTTAGACAAAAACTATCTGGAAAGTGACGTATTTTGGCATATTTGATAGATTTTTCATACTCAAGCTTGAATTTAAGTGTCTTTCATGACCAAATCAGTTCAAATATTTTACATAAACTAATTGAATCGACTGAAGTAGACACTTAAGTGTTTGAAAAATGTAAAAACTCTTTCATCAGATGTACTTCGAATTTTAGGCCAAAACTAGACCTTACCGGACCTTCTCCTTTGCAATAAGTTAAATGAAGTCAAAGTTTAAATTCCAAGACAATTTAAAAAGTTAAGGATGTACCTATTTCACTTTCATAAGTTCTTCCTTCTCTTATTTCAACACCGGTACTTTTTCCTGATCTTTCTTTTTTTAGATTGATTCTTCTTTTTTGTGCTGCTTTGTTTTGTCTCTTTCAGATTTTTTATTCCTCTTTCTATTCAATCGTATAGCCCTCTTGATAGTCTCATTCCCAGGTGACAATCCAGCTGCTTCACTAGCCTTAAAAAATAAATAAATAACAACATGTACAAATTAATTCAATATGAGGATGGTCTTAACAGTTATTTAAGAAATGACTGTTCCTTTTTGTTGCCAAGTTTTATTTTGATGTATTAAAGCATTGATCAAAGCACATTTTACATGAAGCACTTTAGGCTTTTATACCCTATTAAACTACAAAAATAATGAAGAAGGATGCGAGATTTTCTTGCTGTGTTGAAGACCCATTAATGGACTTTGGCTGTTTTCTGCTTTGGTTAGGTTTGCTGTCTAACACATTCCCCGTTTCAATTCTAAATTTTATTTCTTAAAATAACAGTTCACCCTTAAAATTTACTTTTTATACGACTGCAAAAAATTTTGTGGTCGTATATTGGTATGTCGTCGTCGTCGTCCGAAGACACATTGGTTTTCGCACTCTAACTTTAGTTTAAGTGAATGGATCTCTATGAAATTTTACCATAAGGTTCAATACCACAAAAGGAAGGTGGGGATTGATTTTGGGGGTTATGGTACCAACAGTTAAGGAATTAGGGGCCAAAAAGGGGAAAAAAACAAGCATTTTTCTAGTTTGATGACAATAACTTCTGTGTAAGTGTATGGATCTCTCTGACATAGTACCATAAGGTTCCATATCACAAAGGGAATGCTGGGATTGATTTTGGGGGTAACTGCCTCCAAATTTAGGAATTAGGGGCAAAAAAGGGGCAAAAAACAAGCATTTTTCTAGTTTCATGACAATAACTTGTGTGTAGTTGTATGGATCTTTATGAAATTGTACTGCAAGGTTCCATATCACAAAGGGAAAGCTGGGTTTGAGTTTGGGGGTAATTGCCCTAAATGTTTAGGAATTTGGGGCCAAAAAACAAGCATTTTTCTTGTTTCCAGACAATAACTTGTGTTCAAGTGAATGGATCTCTCTGAAATTGTACAGTTCATACATGTGAACCTCCCGACGGGAGTACAATAATCCCGTTTTCAAGGGTCTCCTCCCGACCTCCCGTTGAAGACAAAAAAATCCCGTGTATGAAATATTTCATGAATGGAAAATTTCAGCCCAACATATCTGGTGTAACTGACATTACTGAAGTTATATTTTACCTGTATATCAATTAACATGCATAATTATATGGCCTCATTTGTCACCTTGGGTGTCAAACATACTGGTAATCAACGATTTTTACCTCAGGCTAACTGCTGTTTTGTAATAAAACTTTGTTTATTTAAAATGAATGTTGGGTTACTTCCCTTGACTTGTCCTGTTTTTAAGTTACTTTCCTTTAAATAATGTAAATTTTTAAAAGAATATAAATAAAATATAAAATGAACAAATTATCATAAAAGGATGGTAATTAAATGATTTTAAATGTTTTAGGACAAATAAAAAAATAATAATTTGAAAATTATTTGAGGGTTCTATACTTCCTTTCAAGGCTTAAATTGAAATTTATATAATAACTATGACCCATGTTTACAGTTTGAATGTGTTACTTATCATGCATTATAAATCTACTTGCATGAAGATAAATATAAAAGATCCACTTGCAGATAGATAAGCAAATGTTCTGATTGCAATGAATAATGGTAAAAAAGATATGACCTAAATAATTTAAAGAACATACTGAAAAAGAAGAATGTTAGATTGAACAAGTTGAAAGTTTAAAAAGATAGAGAAAATTTATAAGTACAAAGGTACTATAAACATTATTCATTCGGATGGAAAGTTGAAGAAAACACACTTTAACAGACAATTTCTACAGCACACGGTTACATTTACGACAGAATTTATGTCGATTAAAAACATCCTGATCTCAGTCCTAATCTCCAAAACTCCTGATCTTAGTTTCACAGTCCATCACATGTATGTGTACTGCAAGGTACCATACCACAAAGGGAAGGCTGGGATTGAGTTTGGGGGTGATGAATCATAAGGGGGGTTCAAAAAATTTGGGGGGGAGATTTTTTTTTCCTTTTTTTCTTTAAAATTTTCCATTTTAAATTGGTTATTTCTGATTTATATATAAAAGCAAATAATAATGATATGGGTTGAATAGATAAATTAAAATTTTTTAAGTTCTTAGACCACATTCATTCTGTGTCAGAAACCTATGCTGTGTCAAATATTTAATTACAATCCAAATTCAGTGCTGTATCAAGCTTGAATGTTGTGTCCATACTTGCCCCAACTGTTCAGGGTTCGACCTCTGCGGTCGTATCAAGCTGCGCCCAGCGGAGCATTTTATTGTATAGTGAAATAACAAATTTCCCTTATTTTGTTTTGAAACATTAGGGAGCAACCATTGAACTTCAAGGAAAGGGGGGGGGGGTTAAGGTCTGTTGTTTGGCCTAAACCATTTAGGAATAAGGGGCATCATAGGTGCAAACAAACTAGGATGTTCTGGTTGCCTGACAATTACTCGAGTATAAGTCTATGGATCTCTTTGAAATTTTACCACAAGAATCCATACCAAAAAAGAAAGGTTGGGATTGATTTTGAGGTTTATGGCCCTAACATTTCAGGGAATAAGGCCAAAAACAATACTTTTCTGATACTTTGTATAAATTGCCTTTTTCCTGACCTATTTCCATGGGGTTTAATTCTAAGTCTTAAAAACTTGGGGTTGTTTAATAGAAAGAATCTAACTGTGTATTTATATTTTGGATTGTGATACAATTGTGTGTAAATTAGTACACATTGAGGTCCAAAGGATCCAATTGAACTTTGTTTGATTTCTTAAGAAATTTCATTTTTTTTGGGTTCTTTTATATGGTGATTCTCATATGTATTAAGATTTTTTATCTTGGGGCCAGTTTTCAAATAAGTCCACATTAAGGTCCAAAGGGTCCAAACATAAACTTTGATGTCAACCAATATTTAGTTCTTGATTTTTTTTATATGCCTAATCTGTGTATTTTTAGATTTTATGATTTTTCTGCCCTGTTTTGTAATTGTTCCACATTAAGGTCCAAAGGGTCCAAAATAAAACATTGATTGATTACAACAAATGCAAATTTATGGGGTTCTATGATAAGCTGATTATTACCCTGTATTCATATTTTGGATTTTGTGCCCAGTTATAAAATTTGTCCGTATTTAGGTCCTAAAATACACTCAGTCTGAATTCATCCATTATTGAAATCTTTTGGTTCTTTCATTTGCTGAATCAAACCATATAGTTAGATTTTTATATAAATGGACCATAATCATGATAACAGAGGTAATGACTGACTATTTTCACTCTCTGTCAGAACCTATGCTATGTCAAGTATTTAATCACAATCCAGATTCAGAGCTGAATTGCAAAATTAATAGAAATTTCATTTCAAGTAGGTTCATATTTGATAATATAGATTAAAAGAAGGGAATTACCACTTGAAAAGTCCAATTTAATTTTTTTCAGATCTTAGACCACATTCATTCTGTGTCAGAAATCTATGCTGAGTCAAATATTTAATCACAATCCAAGTTCAGAGCTGTACAAAGCTTGAATCTGGTGTCCATACTTGCACCAACTGTTAAGTTTTTGACATCTGCAGTCATACCAAGATGAGCATTTAATATGATTTTTTTTTTAAATATTTGAATATTTGCCTTTAATGCATGTACATTTTTTTGGTTTGTTTTTATAAGTGCACTATGATTTTATATGTACCTGACAAACTATTGTAAGCCCTTCCAGAACCTTTCTTCTGCCAACAAGTGTCTGTGGATGCATTAATACCTGCTTGTTCATTACCTTCTGTAAAAAAAGGTTAAATTCATAATACAGTAACTGGAAAATATGTATTCAAAAACAGATCTTCAGCCCTAAAAACATGAACCAAAAGGTAAAACTTAACTACAGTCACTTAAAGTGGCCCAAGTGTTGTAGAGCTTAATTGTCCTTAATACATGAGGACTGTAGCTGAGAATTATCATTGATTTATTATGAAATGTTTTCACAGAAATAAACCTAAACACAAAACTCAACCATGAAATTAAGGTGATAGTGACACGATTTAGGTATATATAACTAGAGGTTCCAAGGAGCCTGTGTCTCTCACCTGATATTTTTGTTTACAATTGATGCATGAAATGATGCAACCATTATACTTTTGCTTTAGTTTCAGAGGCAATAACTCCTTAAGGGGTCAATTGACAATTTTGGTCATGTTGACTTATTTGTAGATCTTACTTTACTGAACATTTGGTGTTAATGAATAGTTGTTGCATGCACATGGAAGAGAAAATATAAAAGGATTATTTCCTTTTGAACTGTATCTAATAATCTTTGAAGATATGTTGCTCTGAGTTGGATAAAAAAGAAGCCCAAACTGACAAGATATAAAGGTAGGTTTCTCCCATGTACATGCAACAACCAATTACCTAACATCTATGTATTTAATATTTAAATTGCAAGAATTTGATTACCACCTTTATAAATTTGACTGCAGTTTAACACATATTTTAGGCATTAACATATACAGGTCAATATATATTATGATATTTGTAAAATATGTGTGCCATTGTATGTACAATGTACATGTATATGCAAATGACAGAATCAGGCCTATTTTTTTTTTATAAAATTATTATATTTAATTTTCAGTCAAACCTGCATCAATGGTCATGGACTGGAAAGCTTCGTCAAGTAAAAACTTCCTTTCTGAAGCATTTGCCTGACACTCTATTATGTCTCCAACTTCATTTTATCTTGACTTTAGTGACTTATGATGAGGACAATGGACATTCATGGCAGCTAGCAAATTATTCAGCTGTGTTTCTCCTATGCCTGCATGAATCATACCTGATAATATAAAAAACATACAAAAAAATAAATGAACAATAAATTTAAAACACTAGCAAAATAATTTAAAGTAGCTATAATTATATAGGTTGGGCCATATTTTCTGTGTACATGTACATGTAGGAAAATGAAGGCAAACAAAATTAATTTTGTGGCAATGTAAAATAGTGAATTATGATGTCTGACCAGGATAAAATGGTACGTTTTAAATTATCACACTACTGGCTATTTTTATATTTTGTTGATATATTGCGCTGTAACAACACTATCCCTGCAAAAAATTTAACCCCTCCATATTCTGTATATGCTTGTCCCAAGTCAGGTGCCTGTAATTTAGTGATTGAAGTTTAATGCTGTGTAACATATTTTTTCATTGATTGTTAAGTACCAAAATTGTTGTTAGTTTTTTTGTTTGAATTGTTTTACAATTATCATTTGGGGCATTTTATAGCTGACTATGTTGTATGGGTTTTGCTCATTGTTAAAGGTTGGACGGTGACCTAAAGCTGTTAACTCATATGTCTTTGGTCTCTGTTGGAAAGTGGTCTTATTTGCAATCATACCACATCTTCTTATTTTTATATGTAGTACAATTTTTTATATTGACCAAACTTTATCATTATCATAATTGAAAGAACATTTGTTTACCTGCAGCTAATTTTGTATTGACATCAAATGTACCAACTCCTTTTCTACTACTATTTGCATGATGCGTCTTCCCTAATCTTATTCGGGCAATATCTGTTCATTGTATATACAAAATACCAGCAACACCATAAGGTTTAACTCCCAACGAATTGTGTAATTGTTAAGGGACTTCACATTTGGAACATTGTTTCAACTGTTGAACAATATAGTATACTAAGTAGTTCGACAACATATCTACAGTGGTTTAAGGGAAGTAAATCAGTAGGTAATGGTAATAAGTCAAAATCAACATTTATATTATATTCATCATCAACCACTACTTCATGATCTTGTATATCAGGTACAGACTCAAAAGCAACATTACACAAATCATATGTTTCAATGGTTTTCAGTTGGGCATATGAGTGGTCAGGTTCTAAGTTTTGACAATGGACTGAGACAAATGATGGTATATCGTGGTGGTCAGATCCTAATTTTTGACAATGGACTGAGTCAAATGATGGTAAGCCGCATCGGCCTATGAAATTTTCTCAGCCAGGTAGGAGGCTTGGACAAAAATTTCATAGGCCGATGCGGCTTCTCCGAAGCAGGGGCTTAAACTTTTTGTTCAAGCCTCCTACCAGGCTGAGAAAATTTCATAGGCCGATGCGGCTTCTCCGAAGTAGGGGCTTAAACGTTTTGTCCTAGCCTCCTACCTGGCTGAGAAAATTTCATAGGCCGATGCGGCTTTTCCGAAGCAGGGGCTTAAACATAAGCGGTGATTTGGGGGTCCATGTATTACGCAATACTGTAAGGTGTTATGTATTACGCAAGGTGTCCATGTGTATTACGCAATACTGTAAGGTGTCCATGTATTACGCAAGGTGTCCATGTGTATTACGCAATACTGTAATTATACAGGTACACCAGCTTACCTAATACTGATGGAATTTGTTTTCTTTGTGATGAAATAAATTCCTTCTCCTACAAGTATTCATATTCCTGCTGTGAATTGTGATATTTCTTTAACATTTATAATAAGTTTATGTATTTATTAAATAGTACTGTTATATTTAAATATTGCGGTTTGAAATCAAATGGGACCCCCCCCTCCATAAGTTTCACTCTTATTAATCAAAATATGTTTATCCATCCATGATTTAAGGAATTTGATATTTTGAAATACAATATGAACACTCATCAAATGATACAATAAAATGACTAAACAGAATTGTTAAGCAAAAAAATGAATACTATAAGATTGTAAGACATTATTAGATGTACAATTTCTTCACGAATACCAATTCACATTTATTGTGAAATATTGGAGGCAATAACCATAACAAAATAAAATCACCTTACTATCATAACCTTCGATTTCAAGGTGTCCATATAGACACTTCGAGTAATTAAACAAATATATGATAGTGTCCATTAAATATTCATACAGTAATGTTTAACATATAAAAGATCACATACATTACAGTGTACAAACAGGAAGAGTCAAATAATCATTTTGCATAGCGGGGAGTTCGATTGATACAGGTTTTTAAAAGAATGGTACGGATGAATAAAATTCACGCTGAGAATTTTTTTGGATGATATATTTGTTAAAATAACACATAAATATTTGTATTTGTAAATAGAGTCACGGTTTAATAAAAAGGTAGCGTTAATGAACACATTGTTAAGTCCGATGGTGTTTTTTTTGTTTTTAAAAGGATTAGTATACAGAAAAAAAACAATGGCGTTGACCTTCAAGTTATGGAGGTTCACTAGGAATCACGTTGGGGTATTATAAAGCATACTGTAATTATGATGTATCTTGACAAGAATTACTGATTGTGAAGATTGATATCCATCCTTTCTAAATCAACACCGTAGGAATATAAATCTCAAATTTTGATAATGTAAAAAAACAACCTTAAACTAATGTTATCAATATGGACAAACGGACAAGACAGTTGTGAGCATGATCTTATTGAGGGTTAAATGTGAAATGAAATGGACTTTTACCTTTTTACAACGTCAAAAATGGTGGAATCATGCAATTAAAGTCGTTATTTGTATTGATAAACGAATATCCTTGTGGTTGCAAATTTTTAGAGAATATATCACGCACGACTACGTAAAACATGGTCATTTTTATAACATGTGTGGAAATTAAAACACAATTTGGCTAGAGAAGCCAACAACAGACACAACATGATTGGAATACTTCATTAAGAAGATAAATGGAAATTATATTTCAGAAAATGAAATTGAAATAGGATGATACAAAATTTTGGATAAAAAAGTAGGCAGATCAAAAATAACGAATACTCAAATCATTAAAAAAAAAAAAAAAACAAAAAAGAAACAAGAGGGAAATATCAGTCACTCTTATAAAAGTTGGATATATCATTCAACAATCAATACATGCAAATAAAGAAGAAAAACATATAAGTGTGTTGTGTTATTTTGTATCATTACAATTTGAAGAAAAAAGAAATACCCAGTACTTGAAGTTTTGGGGTTTTGATGTTTCTTAATTCGTCATTTGTTTTGTTTTGTTTCTGATTTTATTATTGTTTTTTACATTTCAATTTCTTGTCTATTTTCTTTTTTTCATTTTTTTTTTTATTGTACTTATTTTTTTATGATTTACTCTTGTTTAAAAGAAAATTTTATTGACATACCGTAATATTTTGTTTCTGTTATTAATGTTACCAAAATGGTTTTGATAAATAAAAAAAAAAAAAACACTGAACAATTTTGATAAAGTATCCTCTTTTAGTTGGTATTCTTGTGAATATAGTTTTGACGAAACACTAGTAATGTATTTAAACGAATGTTTTTCGCCGTTATTCTTTAAAAAGTCTAACAATACCAATAAACTTGAATCATTATGCATACAAATAATGTCATATCTTATATTGTTCTGGCGTAGAAAAAAATATAAGCCTGGTACCTTTGAATTTATATTCCAAGCAATTTTTTTACGTGGGCATGTCTCCTACAGTAAAAAACACATTTGATACGTTTTAAGGCAAGTCATTAAAAATAAGCACAATGTGGTGTAAGTTATCCATTATGTTATAGTCTGGAATTATCCATTATATTCTTGTCGGTCTAGAAAATATGAATGATTTTAAGGATTTTGTACATATTGATACTAATGATTGATATGCATGGCCCGTTTATTCCAGTGTCATATACAATAATATGCTCGGGGTACTAATTGTGTTTAACCGTATAATCATCCGTGCTTGTCCAGGCTAATGCATCTGCTAATTCTAAAAAGCGATGAGTATACATATGGCTGCTGAAAATCCAACATAATTGAACTCGACCGATAACATGCAGTCGCACCATGTCTCTACGGGGATCCATGTTTCCCATTTGTCTTAACTTTTTAGTGTTGAGTGTTTATTTCTTGTCATTCTGAGTCTTTCCTGACCCCGGGATTCCTGACTTTGGTTTCCGTTGTATGCCCTTCCTGGTTAAATGTTTTCCCAACGAATACTGATGCATTTACAAAGTGCGTTTCATGTATGAAACAATCGCCGAAACTTTGAAAATAAATAAACTAAAAGAAATATTGATGACCAGTGACACCTTACTTAATTAAAGACCACTGTAGACAAACACAGACAATCCCGAACTTCACTATAGGAAATTAGTTTACTAATACAATCTTTAAATGTTATAACAACAAAAAGAAGACAAAAATTCAAATCGGGTTGAAGCATATTTAACACAAGTGCAAGTATAAGTGTCAAAAGTACTAGGCTTCTATGTTATTGATGGTGCTATTTTGAGACTTACCTTCCACTTGCACCGGTAATTCTAGTAAAAACTTATCCAATTGCTTTGCCGTATCGTTACCGTTACTGTTACCAGTTCCATTTAGGAGATTGCGCTTATAAGACTATCATAATATAGAACTACTGTTACAGTCTTATATGATAAAAAAGGCCAGGATTCATATCAGAATAAAATGACTTCATACAACCTTCATACTTATATTTGATTTACTGAAATAAAAAGCGAGAAAAAAAAATGATTGAAATTACACAAATCTCACAAAAATATTCCAATCAATAGTATCTATATCTGGAACCGCTGTTCCTGTTTTCTATGATAAAAATTAATAAAGGCACAAGCCCAGGATTCATTTCCGAAAACAACGTACTCAAAATACTTCATACTTGCATATGTGAAAGAAAAAGGTGGTAAAATTGGTCCATCCCTTCTATTTTACTTGACCAATTGGTCATATGAAAATGTGTTGTTGTGAATACGAAAGCGTTAAGAGGGGTTTTGTATAAAAAAAAAGCCCATAAGACATATGTTGACAATCTGAAATACTATACGTTGTTGTTACTAACGAAACAATTTTTTTTTGCTTTTTTATATACAGAAT